AATTGTTTCAACAATTTTCAACTGTTTTCAACATATTTTTGTCTGCTTAATACGAATCCGTTTTCCAGATTTGGCTATCATCACATCACAATTTTGAGGAGAAAGGCGAAACAAGGAATTAAAGAAAAGACCATTTTGATGGTCTTTATGAGTATATGTTGTAGCACCGACAGCAAAATTTTTTTCAAAATTTCATTAGTGCCACATGAAAGTATCAACTTAACTTAAACTTTCAAACTTTCACCTTGAAATTTTATTTCATTTCGGTATGATTTTCCATTTTTGAGATATAGCAATTTGAAAATGGCCATACATATATTTATAAGGTATTGTATTTTGTCAATTTCATATTGCTTTCCTATTTAGTTCACAATCCTATTTGACACTAATTTTATCCAAATTCTGACGTGATAGCCTAAATTGAAAATCGAACTTTGGCATTCGTGTTTGGCGTCTAAAAAAACTGGGAAATGATGAAGTTCGTTCAAACGATGATGTCCAAGACAAATACCTACTCCAAACTCGTATCTTTGAATTGACGCTAAAGATTTTTCGTTGTCCTTTATTTCTCGGCGTTAGTTCATTTGGAGGAGCTATCGCAAGTCGCGAGCTAAGAAGTGGTGTCGGTCGCTGATATTGCACACGGTGGTGAGTGAGAGTCGCGGTTGACCTCTCGGTGAGGATTAACTCTGGTTATATAGTCGCAAATGTCGCAATATACCTATAACGACGAGCGAAGATGAAAGAATATGGTAAAGAAGGGGAAAAGGGTGTCTTTTTACTGCCGTGGTGCGGCGACGTCACGCGCCGTCGACGTCGATAAGCATGGGCTTTTCTCTCTGTGTACTTGGCATCTCGCGCGGCTTTATGTCATTCTTAGGGTTAAGGTGTCAAAAGTATACGACAAGACCTCCCTTGTCGAGGCACACACTGTATTTTTCTCGTAATAACTCGTACGTGCGCGACCACACAAAAGTCACTTTTTACTACATACTTACTATACATATACGAAGTATAGCCCCAGTTTCACGTCAAATAAATTAACAAGTTGATTTCGTAAACTAATTGCTACTATACATTAATCAGCTATAATATGTTTGTAATTAATATAATTAAGCTACACATGGTATAAAGATATATGTATAATAATTAATGCAGTATGTACAAAAATGTAAGAAAAAATATGTATTGCATTTACAGTTAGCCTCTAAATTCCGTGAAATGTGAAAAAATCGCGATATCAATTAACAAATTGATATATATCCTGCGATATATATAAGCGACATACGTACAATACCTATAACCTATAACCTGTCTATGTATTATCGACAATTTATTATCATTGTTGTAAGAATCAATTGTATATGTGATCCACAAGATCTGATTATTACTTGTCAGTACTTTGGCACACTTTGGTGCACTCGACGGAACGAAGAGTTAAAATGTACGTTCCATCTCTAAATTCTCACTCGAAAAAAGTTTAAGTTTACTATTGAAAAAGAGTGAAAAATGTGTACTGAATAAGATTTTCACTTTTCCTTTTCGAGTGAGAATTCTTTCCTTTGTGGAATGAATCGCGGAGTGATCCAAAACGTTTAGCTAGAGCGGGAGAATGTATAGCCTGCACCGACGATCATTAAGCATACGCTTGTAATATGTTTACACAGCGTTGTTCCTCGCGCAGCCATCAATCACGGCGAACGTCGAGTCGGTCTCGTCATTCCACGGAGGTCTTAGACGCTCGAGTTCCTTTCTATCTCGCTTCGTTGCCACTCTAACTCGTCATTTCCGACAGTCGCGATGTTAAACCATTGTCAACCGCTCGTGACAAACGTATTTCGTCCTTATAGCTTTAATTGCTATAATTTAACAGCGATCGATTATCATGTGCGATACTTGAAATACTGCAACATTCCCAACGCAACGTACTCTGTAAAACGTAATTCTGAAAAATCTCACGACTTTCAAAAAGGAAGATTTTAGTTCAAATTGATAATAAATGAATCTTTATTATGAGAGAGGGAGAGAGAGCTTGTCTTATCGGAAAATATCTTTATATACGTATACTGTAATATATTTTTAATATTACTATGTTTTTATCAATGATAAAAACATATTAATAAATGATAAAATGATAAAAGTGAGAAAGATAGATTCGTCATGAAATCGTATGAAATTGTGTTAAATGCCTGACAAAAGTTTATAGTATATAACATGTACTTAAATTTAAATAATAATAATAATAATGATTTAAAAAAATTTGCGACGAATTGCAAAAAAAAAAAAGACGCAGCCAGAGTCGTTCGCTCTCGAGGTAAGATACGTGCATATTTGGTTTCGTAGGAGAGGAAGAGTGAAGAGAGAATTTTGTGTTCAGGAGAAATAAATTGTGCATGTTTCACATTATATTTTATACAGTTTATTCTCCGTTTGGCCATAAATGTCCCTTCAATGCTGTCGTATGCTGTGAACGAGGATTCTTAAAAAGTTCAAGGCACAATATGGTAAATACGATAGAGCCGAGCGGCATAATTTATTAAGGCACTTTTAGTAACCACGTTACTCTCACCAAGTGTCTGACGGCGCGTTTACTTTCTCGTCTTGGCTCGAGAACGTTTTAAACTCGTTCGGCATTTGAGACACCCAGTATAAATAGACGCACTTTGCTCCTACAAAAGGCACTTACTTCCACAACTTTGCCAGCAACGTCGATCAGTCGATTCGTTTCTTACGCACTAATTAATTTAAACGCTCGATAAAGTGTACACTAATATCAAAGTGCTTTGCAAATAAGAGGTTTGCATTATCGACTTCATATGTAGTTCTCTTTGTTGATAATTTTAGTAGGTACTGCATGCAGACATACAGGTTAGCACTTTATAACAATATGTCGTAATTACCAACGATGATATGAGCATATTGTGCTAACTCTCTCTCTAATTATTACTCTCTTAATATCACCAGATATGTATATTTATATGTATATACAGTATCACACGTATATATACACATAATATATAAATATGCGTGAGGAACGTATAAAAATCTGTTTTATTTTTTATTCAACTCGAACGTAGATTCATATTTAATTATTTAATTGGGTCAATTCTAAGTAGAATTGTAAGGCTTGTAAGAACTCGTGACTTGTAGAGTTGTAATTCTACGTATATCATAAGACGTATAATCGTTCAGAAATGTCTACGAGTCCTCGTAAATATTATTGCTAGCAAGAAGATGTCTGTAAAGATGTTGTATAAAATTTCAGTCATAAGTTCTTACAAGTCTTACGAAAACAAATTACGATTCTTGCAATTCTGCAGCTCAGGATAGACCCGTAAAGTCAAATATTGGCACAATCTTTGGTACAAGTTGCATCATCAGCAAATCGTGTAATTAGCACGAGCATACCTACATATATATATATATATATATACGTGCATATAATAATTTATCAATTATTATATCTTACTGTCAGTTAAATAAGCTCGAATAAAAAACTGCCGTTACACGCAGAAATAAATATAAATGTACATGTGCGCGTGTAAAATGATCATCTTTTGAAATAATTGAGATAATTTTACGTGACCTAATTCTTTCGATACGTTGATAGATTTGTAAGAGAAATTCGATTGCGAGCAATGCAAATATATACATGTATGCAATATTTTGATAATCCACTGTTTTTTAAGTCTTGTCTTTTATAAGAGGTCGCGCAAGAAAAGTTGTTTGGCGCGCGTATTTTTAAAAGAATAAATCTGCAAGTCTAAAGTCACGTCAACACGTTTCAAGAAGGAATCGTCGAGATTCTTGCGTTCCATTGCACTAATTGTAAAAAAGCGTTGGACCGAGATGTAAAAACTATATATTATAATATGTGTGTGCGTGTATTGTATAAATGGTATAACGTTCGAAAAGTATCGGGATAGCGCGCGATGCGAATTGCGAACGTATCACGTATCATTTTCATCTCCATCGTTTTTTAAGCGTGCACGAAGAATTAATTAATGTTTTCGATGATTCGACATAAAAAGTCTGAAATATATTAGTTACATACGTAACTGGAGGCCGACGAAGGTAGAAAGGATGGGATTGATGAGAGCCGCACCGGGCGGCGCAAATTGACGATTATCGCGGTCCATAGAGAGAATGCGCGCTCGAATGCGGATGCTGCGAATGCATCGGATAATGAACCGTGTTGACGTGCGCCGATGACTGCCCATGATGGCTCGGATAATGCGTCCAATGGCTACCTGTTACGGCGCCCGTTGCACCGTAGAACTGATGATGTTCCTGGGAGGTGGCGGCGGGTATTGCACCTGGAATCTGCATCGGCCCCGGAATCGGCATGGCGTTGTAACCGGATGGGAGAAGGGTATTTAGGGTGGTACTCGCGGTACTCGTGGGTCCCGTGGCCGGCCTTTTGGCAGGATTCGGCATCCCTGCACCGACGGCCGCCACGCCGTCGCATTCGTCCGATTCGCAATCCCGAAAACCCTTGGCGAACGGATTACTGGCAATCTTGAGCTGCGTTATCCGATGGTTCTGGTACGCGGTGACCGCGGTGAATCTAGTCTCTGGAAAGGAAAACGTCTTGAAGTTCTCCGTGCGAGGATCCGGCGCCGAGCCTGGTGGCGAAGGAGCGACCACTACGTGACAACGCGGCTGATAGCGGTGCATCGAATTCAGGATAATCTGCAATGCAATATAAGGATCTCGACGTTATCTTCGAGCAAAACGCGCTCCTTCAACATTATTTTGAGTTACTCTCAATACATACATATATCTATAATAAATGCTCATAAGAGATTGTTGTTTCGAACAAAACAGTCACTCGCATTACGAATTTTCTAAAGAATCGATATCATTTCAGTTTGATCGATTAAACGCCAGATAATGTAGAATTTCATACGATAATCCATATTGTCCAAGTAGATCCAAGTAGATTCGGTGGAATTTTAAATGGAAGAAGAGAAAAGAAGATTCAGTCTCTCTCTCTCTCTCTCTCTCTCTCTCTCTCTCAATTATTGAAGAAAATTTAGAAAATTTGTAAATTTAAAATGTTTTAATCTCGAAAAAGTATCAACTTTTATAACGAAAGCTCGATCGTACACACAGCGTTACAAATATTATGACAAACGTAAGGCGACAAATGTTTTCACGCAGCCGATCGTGATGAGTAGAATTTAGGTAAAATCGCCTTCGTGTGTATATATGAGAAAGCACACAGCGAGAAAAAAAAAGATACGAGGGAAAAAGAAGAGAAGAAATAGGACCACGTGAAGCTCGTATTCGATGGAAGGAAAGAGCGCCACAGGGGGGCGGTCGCAATGTTTGACAGCCACGAGAGACTCGGTGACTAATTAGTGTAAAAACTAACCTCCGACCCGTAATCCGACACCCTCGTCCTTTCCTTCACGCACTCACGCGCATATGCTTCGCGATGCCGTATTCGTATGTATTGGTAGATTTATAAACGCGCACATAACGTTATACATATACACGCGAGAGGAAAAGCGTGTGTGGCCTCCGAAAATTAGGACGCCATTTCCCGCGAGCCAACTTTTCACCGACAATTTTCTCTAACGAATCCTCCATCCAATTTTTCTCTTGCTCACGATCATTTCTCCTTTAAACGCGATCGAGCATTGAATATTGTGCGCTTTTTCTTGTGCATTCCATAGGTTGTACATGTAGTACATATAGTATATATAATTATAGTTGTAGGGGTATACTTTTTAAATAAAATTTTTCATCTGAAAATACCTTCAGTCTTACGTATATGACTCTTACACGAACTTTTCCTAAAATTCAGACGTTATATTTTTTGCAATTCTTTGCATTTAATCTATATCTATACATTTCGTATATCGATATTAAAAGTAGTAATTTTGCTCGAAAAAAAAAAAAGTATTTGTTTCAAGTTAAATAATAGTATTGTATACATGGATAATAAAGAGACTGCCCGAGAGTCTTTTCTGTGAGATATAATGTTGTTGTACTCTCCCGAGAGTACAATAAAATTATGCTAAAATTGAATGTTATTTTATATTTATCTCTACATTTATCTTCTCGAAGATGAAATGTAGGTTAAAATTTTTTTTTCACACGATATCGAGATATCCGGAAACGCCTCGCGATAGCGGAGTGTCAATTAAGGACGAGCGTCGAGGCGAACATTCCTGAGCCGCCTACAGCGGGTTTTTATGATTTTTTTACGCGGCCTGCTGCCAGATTTTTCGGTACGCAATTAAAGGAACAAACTGCTCTGTGTATAGCGCGAGAAAAAGAACGACCTCTCGCCACGGGTCAGAGGTCCGTCCTCTCCTGCGAAAGAAGAGCGATACGTTCTTGGGAGAAACGCGAGTGGAGACTCCAAACTTTCCTCCTTCTTCGAGTCGAGGATGTTTCGAATGTCGAAAAATAAATCACGTCTCGAGAATAGACGTCGGCGAAGAATTTACGATTGCATAAATTTGAAACGTGATAAAGATTATGCCTGAATACACAGAGAGTAGTGTATTCGAATATCGGTTGCGAATAGTACTTAGAATTGGAAAGAAGACACATACGATTTTACAAACAAGTGCGTAATTACAAAAGTGTGTGATTCCAAGAATGTCTCTTCTCTTGCGCTTAGATAAATTTTTAATATAGAGTATAGATTAAAATAACCGAGCTTTCAATATTAAAAACAACTTAGGCAACTAAGAGGTAGTACACAATTGTTATTATTAATGTACGTTACAATTTTTCTTTATTCTTCTACTAATTTTATATAATTTTTATACTTAATTGTGCGACAACAGGATGGAGGTGCAAGTTATTAGTACAACCGAACTTACAAATTTTGACTTGTTAAGAAGAGCCGTTCACATGATCAAATGGAGAATTACTCTGGGTAATTTGACTAATGTGCGCCTACATTCAGAATATTTGCATTTAAATTTTGGATTATTAAGCCTAATGTTATGCCAGGAGGATGCCTAAAAAAACAGCTGAAAGTCGAAACATTGAAAATATAAATACAGGTGAAGAAGAAATAAAAATAGCTGTGTACTAGCTCTTAGTTGCCTATTGTTTTTATAATAATATTGTTTTTTATGGTATAGAATGTTACAGAAACGAAATTACACTACGCAAAAAAATTAACGGATTACTTAGTCTGTCCTATTCCAAAAGTAGGTAATATTTCACAAGAGAGTGTAACTTGGCCAAAAATGATCGTAACGAGACTTTTAGAAAAAACATTTTAAAGCTTCAAGTTTCTACTTTCAATGTAATTGATATTTCGATCGTGGGTCCCCACCTACCATGGAACATAAATTCTATTTACAGCGTTCGAAACATTGTCAAAAATAAAATGTTAATTTTAACTTGAAGACATATAGTGGACTTTGTGAGACGTGCACAAATGTTACAATTAACATTTTCTTTCTTTAATTTAAAATTAACATTTTATTTTTTATAGTGAAAGAGCGATTCTTTACTTTTAATTTGTTTTTTTTTTTTTGTTGTTGAGTGGTACAATCTTTTTTCACCGAGTTATTCAACGTTGAAACAAAAACGACCCTTTTTGCTTCAATGTTGAATAACTCTATGAAAAAAGATCACAATGTTCAAGAAGAAAAGCAAATTAAAGGTAAAGATTCGTTCTTTCGAACGCTGTAAATAGAATTTGTTGGCAGTTTTTAATTCAGGCCATGGAATTAAAATTTTTTTATTTAACAATGTCCATTTATATAAGTATAACTTTATAAAACTATCAGATCGAAGTATCACCGATCTCGAAAGTAGAAACTTGAAACTTTAAAATATTTACTTTTTTAAAAGTCTCGTTGCGATCATTTTCGACCAAGTTACACTCTCTTGAATATTATCTATTTTTGAAGATAAGTTATGACGACTAAGTTAATTTTTTTGTGTAGTGTATATTTCGACAACTTGAAGGCTCAATAAAGATATAAAACAGATACTTACAGTTTTACAAGTGTGTACAAAGAAAGAATGAATATTGCTAATAGCATTTAAATAATCTGCTGTAATTTGAAATAGACAGACCAATATTACATCAAATTTTGGCCGAGAAGAAAATATTTGCTCAAGAATTAATTTTACTAAACTTATACCATATGCATGTGCAGGGCTGGGCACATTTCAAATATTTTAATGATGTAGTTTGCCCAGCTCTGCATTCAAGATTGACATAATTGAGATATGACATAACTCGATATTGTATCGGATTTATCTTGCATGTACGGAAATCTTGTTTAGCAATGTTTGTCGCTAAACGATGGCGGTATCCTTTTCGTATTAGGAAATAACTGGTCGAATTCGAGTTTTGAAAACGAATGACTCGACCACCTGACCTCCTTCTATGTATTAAACAAATTGCGATTGACACACGTGCTTACTGTGTTGGCATGTTGCGTCGTATGATTTCGTTCATCGGTATGCCGCGACATTACGACTCGAAGAATTTGTTTCACGATCGTATTCGGCAAGAAATTATTTTCGGATCCATAGAGTCTTTGCCGCAAGTACAGACTTACGTACGCCCGCGCCGCTTCCCAACCAGCACACAATGTTTTTAAAACGTTTTTTAAAAATATTTAATTATAATGTAAAAAATTAATAAATATTAAAAAAATATATTTTAAATATTGTGCGCTTAATATTGATCGAAAAAATCGAAACGCATTCACGATCAATGTTCTTCAAGATTTTGACGATTTTTATATCTAACGTACAGGCATAAGAGACAATAAAAATAGGTTCTTTGATGCACGAAAGGGTTGGGAGCGAGAAAACTCAATGAGAGAGAAAGAGAGAGAGAGAGAGAAAACTTCTATGTATATGTATTTATAAATATATCGACGAAAAGTTGAAGTCTTTAATTCCTCTGCATACATTATTGTAATATGTTACATCAAATTTGAAAACGTATTATCCGTTGAAATTATTTAATTCTATCGCTATCATTTGATATCATTCGATGTACATATAATAATATATATAATAATTATATGTTGGAAGAAGTCAATATTTTGAAAAAAATTAACTATTTAGTATGAATTACTTATTAAAGAGTGCATGAATTTAATTAAAAGAAATTTTTTTTTAAACATATACACACACACATATATATATAAT